TGCGTCTGTCTCCCTCTCTCAGGTGAGCACACGTGCCCTAAGGCAAAAACCAAAAACCTCTTAGAAAAGAAAAAACAAAAGGCAAAGTCTTCTCAATATAGAAGGGTTTGGGAGATTTTTAAAAATGTACTTTAAAGTGTATGTATTTCTTCCATGAGAGAGATGAAGAGAGGGAGAGAGAGAGAGATAGGTTCCCCAGCAGGGTCTTCACTCCTCTACCCTCTGCAGCCTCTGCTGGCCGTCCCAGCCCTCGCTCACAACAGGGTGTGCGGGGAAGTCCCAGGAGGCTCCCAGGACCTCTCCGTGTAGGTCCGACTGCCCATCACCTGCCCCAAAGGGAGAGGCTCCTCTAACCTAGAACTAGGCCACTCCCAGGTGGTTTCTGGCCTAACCGGGAACTAGATGGCCCCCAGGTGGTTTCCGGCCATCCTTTGGACTGGATTGACTTGACGTGCTTCACTCATTCACTGGCAACCGTGGGGAGCAGCTGCGATGCTGGGGGTGTCCCAGCACAGGGACCTGGAGAGACACACCGGAAGAAGGTCTCTGCCCTGCAGGCGGCTACGGAGAGCTGGAGAGACTCCGCACCGACTGCTGAGTCATTCTCGTTGACTGCCTGTGTTTGGTTGGTTTGCTTAGAACATCATTCTGTTATATAAAGATAAATGCCCTCATGGCTGGCCACTGGGGGACAGAAGCAGGTGAGAACACACGGACGTGTACGCAGAACGACCGAGAAAGCATCCTGACGCAGCTCTGCCTACAGTACTGATGGTGGTCTGGCAGCTCGGGATTCGCGATTTGCTCGTGCAAAACGTGCCGTGGAAGACAGCTGGGGTGCAGCTGCACGCACACAGGAGGCTCTGGGGGCCGCCCCGGCACACTGGGCACACATGCCCCAGGCTGCTGGCACAGGGGACTGTGGCGTGAGGACAATGTTGGGGTGCCTTTCTCTGTCTCTGTCTGTCTCTCCCTCATGGAAGACAACAACAACGACAAAACAACAGTGCAAAACCTCCCTCCCAGCTGAGCCACCACCCAGAGACCTTCCCTGGCCTCTGCCTCAGCCACTGAGGCTGGTCCTGGCCAGCCATGCCTCACATTGTGGTTGGTAGTCGCAGACTGCAGCGAGCTACTCTAAGCCTGGGGGCTCTACTGTGGGCCTCCCTGGGGCTCCCTTTTCTAATTGCCATCAGGGGCCCCAGGGACTTTTTTGTGCGCCAAGTTAAGGAAAATGGGAACTCCAGCCCTTTATCGGCCCTGGGGAGAGACACCGCCTGCCCCAAGGCTGCAGCCCCAGTGCCTGCCACCAGCCGGGACTGTGCCCTCCCTCCTGCAGAGCTCCCTCCCTGCAGGGCACTCCAGTGAGGAGGCCCTGAAGCTCTCCTAGCAGGCCCTTCCTCACATGGTGACCTCCCCTCATTTCCACTGTTCGGTAAATGCCCTGTTTTCATTTTGAGACGTTCCTTTCAACCTGCCATGGCCTGGCAGGTTTCTGTTGTGAAGTCTGACATGCCTCTGGTTCACAGGAGTGGAT